CCTCCACTGGACTCTTTCCAATTTTTCCACATCCTTGTTGTAGTGTGGGGCCCAAAACTGGACACACTACTTCAGATGAGGCCTCACCAATGTCGAATAGAGGGGAATGATCACGTCCCTTCATCTGCTGGCAATGCCCCTATTTATACAGCTCAAAATGCTGGTAGCCTTCTTGGCAACAAGGGCACACTGTTGACTCATATCCAGCTTCTTGTCCACTGTAACCCCTAAGTCCTTTTCTGCAGAACTGCTGCCTAGCCATTCAGTCCCTGTCTGTAGCAGTGCATGGGATTCTTTCGTCCTAAGTGCAGGACTCTGCACTTGTCCTTATTGAACCTCATCAGATTTCTTTTGGCCCAATCCTCTAATTTGTCTAATTTGTCCCTCTGTGTGCTATCCCTACCCTCCAGCGTATCTACCACTCCTCCCAGTTTAGTGTCAATGTCACAAGATTCCTGCAAGGTAGGGAGAGAAGTACTTGTAGTAACCCCTTTGACAGCTGGAACAAAGGTGAAAGTGACTTGGCACAAGGTCATACAGCAAGTCAGTGGACCAGCTGGGATGAGAAGTCAGAATCTGCTGGCTCTCACCCCTTTGCAGTGACCATTAAGAAAACACTGCCTCGCTCTGTGATTCCAAAAAGTATCTATCTTCAAAAATGATAAAAGCAATGACCAATTTAAAAAAAAATCATTTTCCATAGATGAACAGAATTTGCTGGGAAATTCTGTTCTAGCTGGCAACCAGTATAAATGATATTAATACAACATTTCTGTGATGAAATATTAACCTTGTGGGCCATTTCCAGAGGTTTTCCACCTTTGATGAGAATACCATTCTGGGCAGCAACGCCTGTGCCCACCATCACAGCTGTTGGAGTAGCCAAGCCCAAGGAACAGGGGCATGCAATGCACAGCACAGTGATTGAGGTTTGAAATGCAAACCTCAGTATTACTTCAGCTTTTGAGAGGTGTTTGTTCTGATGCTGCAAGTAAAAACAAACAACAACAACAAAACAGATAAAGATGTATGTTTGCTAACATAGGAGACAATGCACCAAATGTCTAGTAAACAGCAGTAATTTCAAACAAGCATCTATCTGGAAATCTCAGATACAGAAAACAGAACAACAGATTATAGTTACCAGGCATACTAGGAATATTATATTCATTTAGTGGCAAGTCCCACCCTCAGAGCACAGACTGAGCAGCAGGGCAGCATGATATACCTTGATTTTGGTAAGGCTTTTGACACAATATTGCATGACATTGTCATAAGAAAACTAGAGGAATGTGGTCTATAAGAAAGTACTATAAGGTAGGTGCTCAACTGGTTGAAAGACTGTACTCAAAGAAAAAAGAACGAGGAGTACTTGTAGCACCTTAGAGACTAACAAATTTATTTGGGGATAAGTTTTCATGGGCTAAAACCCACTTCATCGGATGCATGCAGTGGAAAATACAGTAGGAAGTTATATAAACACACAAAAAGAACATGAAAAAATGGGTGTTGCCATACCAACTCTAACGAGACTAATCAATTAAAGTGGGCTATTATCAGCAGGAGACACAAGGTGACGGCTAGTGGCGTTCTGTTACTCCAGGACAGGCCCAACAAAGAAAGTAACAGAACGCCACTAGCCGTCACCTTCATCCCCCAACTAAAACTTCTCCAGAACATCATTAAGGATCTACAACCTATCCTGAAGGACGATCTCTCACTCTCACAGATCTTGGGAGTCCTCACTTACAGACAGCCCCCCAACCTGAAGCAAATACTCACCAGCAACCACACACCACACAACAAAAACACTAATCCAGGAACCTATCCTTCCAACAAAGCCCGTTGCCAACTCTGTCCGCATATCTATTCAAGGGACACCATCATAGAACCTAATCACATCAGCCACGCCATCAGGGGCTTGTTCACCTGCACATCTACCAATGTGATATATGCCACCTGCACATCTACCAATGTGATATATGCCAGCATGTGCCAGCAATGCCCCTCTGCCATGTACATTGACCAAACCGGACAGTCTCTATGCAAAAGAATAAATGGACACAAATCAGACGTCAAGAATTATAATATTCAAAAACCAGTCGGAGAACACTTCAATCTCCCTGGTCACTCAATTACAGACCTAAAAGTCGCAATTTTCCAAAAAAAATCCTTCAAAAACAGACTAACAAGAAACTGCAGAACTGGAATTAATTTGCAAACTGGACACCATTAAATTAGGCTTGAATAAAGACTGGGAGTGGATAGGTCATTATACAAAGGAAAAACTATTTCCACAAGCTAATTTTTCCCCTACTGTTACTCATACCTTCTGGTCAACTGTTTGAAATGGGCCATCCTGATTATCACTACAAAAGTTCTTTTTCTCCTGCTGATAATAGCCCACCTTAATTGATTAGTCTCATTAGAGTTGGTATGGCAACACCCATTTTTTCCATGTTCTCTGTGTGTATATATATCTTCCTATGAATCCGATGAAGTGGGTTTTAGCCCACGAAAGCTTATGCCCAAATAAATTTGTTAGTCTCTAAGGTGCCACAAGTACTCCACGTTCTTTTTGCTGATACAGACTAACACGGCTACCACTCTGAAACCTGTACTCGAAGAGTAGTTATCAATGGTTTGCTGTCAAATTGGGAGGTTGTATCTAGTGGGGCCTCACAGGAGTCAGTCCTAGGTCCGGTACTATTCAATATTTTCCATTAATGACTTGGATAATGGAGTATATGCTTATAAAATTTGCAGATGACACAAAGATGGGAGGAGTTGCAAGCACTGTGGAGGACAGGTTTAAAATGCAAAATGACCTTGACAAATTGGAGAATTGGTCTGAATTCAACAAGATGAAATTCAGTGCAAAGTACTTCACTTAGGAAGGAAAAATCAAATGCACAATTACAAAATGGAGAATAACTGTCTAGGTGGTAGCACTGCTGAAAAGGATCTGAGAGATTATGGTGGGCCACAAACTGAATGAGTCATCAATGTGATACAGCTGTAAAAAAGGCTAATATGATTCTGGGGTCTATTAACAGGAGTATTGTATGTAAGACACAGGTGGTAACTGTCCTGCTCTACTTGGCACTGGTGGAGCCCCAGCTGGAGAACTGTGTCCAATTCTGGGCATCACACTTTAGGAAAGATGTGGACAAACTGGAATAAGTCTAGCGGAGAGCAGCACAAATGAGAAAAGGTTTAGAAAACCTGACCTATAAGGAAAGGTTAAAAAAACTGGCCACGCTTAGTCTTGAGAAAAGAAGCCTGAGGGGGGACCTGATAACAGTCTTCCAATATATTAAGGACTGTTATAAAGAGGACAGTGATTAGTTGTTCTCCATGTTCACTGAAGGTAGGACAAGAAGCAATGGGCTTAATCTGCAGCAGAGGAGATTTAGGTTAGATATTAGGAAAAGCTTTCTAACTATAAGGATAATTAAGCTCTGGAATAGGATTCCAGGGGAGGTCATGGAGTCCTCATCACTGAAAACTTTTAAAAACAAGTTGGACAAACACCTGTCAGGGATGGTTTAGGTTTTCTTGATCCTGCCTCAGCACATGTGGCTGGACTAGATGACTTCTCAAGGTCCCTTCCAGCCTTACATTTCTATGACTCTATGCTGGGATCCCAATGGGGTTGGGTGAGAAGGGATCCTCCACCAGGAGAAGTAGAAGACCTGTTCCACAGTGAGCTATAGCCAATGGATCCACATAGTGATAGATCCATTGGCAGTACACCTCTCACCTGTTACGCCTCCAAACTTCTTCCATCCCCACATGGGCCCCCAAAATTTTGCTTATACCCCACTCCTGTGGAGATTTACCATTTGGAGTAATAAGCATTGCAAATGCAAAAGTGCTGCTATGCAGATTTGTTCCCAAGTAATAATACAACCAGTTGTGTTTTCCCCTCCACCCGCGAGGATGAATATGCCATCTCTGGGATGCACAGCCTTCCACAATCTATGAGCCTGGCAGTACAGTTTACACGTCTTAAATGTAATCAATATGCCATTAATCTTTCTAAAGACCAGATCCATGATCAGCAGGAGCGCAGGCCTCTGGACCATATTCATCCCGGTATATCTCCATTGATTTCATTTTTTGTCAGAATCACATGCAGAGATGAAGATGGACTGACAACTCTGTTGAAGCTGGCCAAAAATTAACTGCATAAACACATTTAGTCTATTCTACACAGAAACCTAACACATTTGAGAGTTGAGGGTGCTTGGCATCTGGCAGGATCAGACCTTTGGAAAGTACAAAAGCTACATTACTAACATTGGGCTGTTGAGAGCAAATATTGGGACCAACGGCACTACTTACAGGAAAGTATTTCTGAACAACATCAAAGTTTATAAAGCCAATTGTGATCCACACTAGCAATGTCACTGTTGAAATGATGATGATAAATGGAACAAAATATCCACTAAACTTATCAGCCAATTGCTGGATGGGTGCCTACAAAAATAAAACACAAATATACTTGTTTTATGACTAAAACAACAAATATAAGCACAGAGTGGACATGATAACATCTACCAACCCTTATTCCATAACTGAGTTGTTCTTTTTAAGTCTGTTTCTTGATTATTCCAAAACAAATACACCTCTACCCCGATATAACGCAACCCGATATAACACAAATTCAGATATAACACGGTAAAGCACTGCTCCGGGGGGGGGGGGGCTGCGCACTCTGGTGGATCAAAGCAAGTTCGATATAACACGGTTTCACCTATAACGTGGTAAGATTTTTTGGCTCCCAAGGACAGCATTATATCGAGGTAGAGGTGTATCACAAGAGCAAAAGCCTTGCTGATTTATATACAAAAGTGAAGTATTTTTATTTTTACCTTTGACATTTGAGCTTCTTCTACCAATTTCACAATTTGTGCCAGGGTGGTGTCAGACCCAACGTGAGTTGCATTAACAAGAACTGAGCCATGCGCATTTATAGAACCTGCAATCACTGTGTTCCCAGGTTTTTTAGTGACTGGCATGGCTTCCCCTAGAACAAAACAGCAATAGGTCAGGACAACTATCTAAGTAGTCTGGGAGCACAGGTACATAAAGATAGATAGCCTGCTACATGCTAGATAATAATTCAGTTTTGAACCATAATTTGAAAGACTGATTCTATTAAAAGGCTGTGTCACTTTTCAGGAAAATGTTTTCCCATGTTCATTTTCACAGCAGGGTCCTCAGCAACCATCCACTGACTCTTTCTTGCTCACTGTGTCACTCGCTCCCCTCCAGAGGCCTGATCCAGAGCCCACAGAGGTCGTTCCATTCACTCCAACAGGTTTTGGATCAGACAGCACGGCAGAACCTACAGGCTGTTTGGCTAGCAGTTACTGATTCTGAAGGTTATTGATTCCAGTGCTAGCCCTTTGGGGGTCCTAATCAGGAATATTTCTGCCCCCACCCAACACATGCTAATAATTAATAGGGAGCCCCCTTGAGCTGCTCGGGGGCCCTAAGCAGTTGCTTAGTCTGCTTATGCCTAGCGCCGGCTCTGCCTATTGTTTATTTTTAAAGCCTTGAATGGACGTGTCCCAGCATATCCGAATGACCTCTGATCCCAGCCCCTCATAAAGATCACAATCAGTTAGTTCACGGTGCCTCAGTTGCAACCTTGAGACAAATGAGCTAGACTAGTACTGTTGTTTTTTAATTATGCACCTCAGCCAGAGAGTTCACCATTTATCACATTACTAGTCAGTCTGCCCAGGCTCAGCAGATGGTTGGAACGAGGCGGAACAATACTGTAACAAGTCCATCACCACCTAGGACATCACCACGCTGCACTGCTTGGCCACTTAGAACATCATGAGATTAGTGGGGAGGGAATTCAAATTTTCACGTTCCAAAATTGCATTAAAGTGAGTTAAAGGAGAATCCTCTTTAGCCATACTCCTCTGAGCATAGAGCCTGAGACTCTTCCTGGCCCTTGTACAAAACACACACGGGGGAAAAGGGAAGGCTCTTTCGTCTTTCACTCCCTCTCTTCTGTGCACCCCCGCAAACACCAGGGACAAATTGGTTCAATACATGCAGACATCTTAGGAGAAATCTTTTTGGCATCTATGTCAGAGATCAAGTGGTCTAGCCCCCTCCCTTCCAGAGACTAGAGAAACTGCCACCTCTGCAAAGTTCCCATGCTCAGACTGGCTCCACTAGTGTAGTAGTGCTTGTCACAATTTGTATTTCCTTTGTCATATTTTTTTCTCCACATGGGGTTAGTGAAGTGAATGGTTCTCAAAATGAGAAAATTCCACCCACCCTCCAAAATCAAATCAAACCCAAACCAAGTAAGCAAATGAAGTGTTAAGGTTTATAGTTCTTTTAAAGAATGTATAATGGCAGGAACCAGGTTAAAAATAATATATCTATGTGTCTGTCTCAACATCAGGTTCCCATGAGGAAACTTCATGAAGTAGAAAAAATTCTGGTGAGCATAACAAATGTTAGGCAATAATGCTCTCCTTCTATCCTGCTCCCTTGATGAATGCTTGGGGTTGTCCTTCTTGAGTCCACGCATTCACTTCCTGATGGATTTGAGCTGTTGTCTATTCACACTTTACTAGTTAGTTTTAAAAATACACCATTTTTGCAAATATGTTCCAGAGAAAACTCCCTCCTGGTCCCTGAACCTTTTAGAACTAAGACAACCATGCCTAAACCCCTTAGTCCTGCAATCCACGCAACACTGCTATTAGCTGATCAACAGAAGTCACGATGGTCAGAATTGGACAGATCCAGTCTTCCCCAAAGTCCGATGTAACCAGATATCAGGGTTTGAATCAGCCTGCTATAAAGGCCAGTCCCATAAAGTAGTCTGAATCTATATCAGAACTTTCCCAAAGCTAAGAGAAGTGGATGAAGAGGAGAATGAATATGGGGAACAAGTGTGAACAGTTTAAGAAGGAGATCCAGCAGCCAGCTAGCTTTGCTAAGCATAAAGAAAATTACCAGTAATGAGAGATTCATCTGCCATAGAGCTGCCTTCAATGACTTTTCCATCAACTGGGAACTTCCCACCAGGGACAACTTTTACAATGTCACCCCGCTGAACCAGTTCAACAGCCACCTGCTCCTCCCTGTAAGAAGCACCCAGTTATGAGAGATGAACAATATGATCCATCCCGTTAATAGGAACAAAAATGCTTTTACCGTTAAATGCATCAGATCTAGTCAGCCCATCCCAGCAGGCTGAAGGGCTTTGGGTGAATAATATATACCTGATGACGGAGTGGTCAGGTCCAAGAGTCACTATGGTAGCTTCAGTAGCTTGGAGAGACATTAGTTTAGCAAGTGCTTCTGATGTTTTACTCTATGAAAACAACATAAATAAAGATAAATGCTTGAGAAGTTGGTCCAATAAAAGATATTACCTCACCCATCATGTGTCTCACATTTTAAGTAGACATGCACAGAGAGGACTTGACCTCTCAAGATCCCTTCCAGACCCACATTTCTATGATCCTGTGAGTGCAGTTAATATAGCAACCCACCAGGCTCTCATCAAACTGCAGCCTACACCACACTGCACGCCAGAAACATTCCTATCAAAAGACATGTAAGCAGTTTCTGTTCATAGAGATGTCATATTATTTTCACCATTACTGTACATAAGTGCTTAACGTGTAGACTGGTTACCTTTGCTATGTGTTCCAACCATCTCCCAAGAGAAATGAATACGAATAACATGGGTGGTGTGTCAAAGAACGTGACGGGGCTTTCCTCTGCCTTTTCAGCTATAGCCACCACCAAGATCACACAAGAGTATATATAAGCAATAGTTGTGGCCAGCACAATCAGTACATCCATATTGGCTGTTTTGTGCTTCAGTGATTTGTAGGCTTGGACATAAAAGTACCATCCACCGAGGAACTGTCAGTGAAAGTATATACAAATGCCTATTAATCACAGCAGTGAAAGCAGGGCACATACAGCACAGATTATAGCAAAGAGATGTAAATAGCGAGGCTGACGTTAATGAGCCTAATTCTTAGCTCACACTGGTTTAACCATGGTCTAACTTCAATGGAATTGTCTTATAACGTAAACCCTTGGGGACAGAGACTGTCTTTGTTCTCTTTGTGCAACATTTCACACAATGGGATCCCCGGTCTATGACAAACGAAAAATAATGGAGTTACTCCTGATTTACACCAGTGTGTGTAAGACAGAATTAGGTCCATTAAATAGAAATGTTCTAAATGGTTAAACGTAGTCATGTCATAGCAGGACTGCGAGGAAATGCTTTTAAAGCCTCATTGCAAGAGAACAGGAATGCAGCAGGAAAAAAGTGACGGAAGTTCACGGCTACCCCACCTACCCATCGCTTCAGTCTCACTCTTTTATCTTACCCCCTTTTCACTTCTCAATCCCCACCCCTCTGTGCTCCTTTCACCCTCTCACTGCTCTGTGTTGTACACATCCCTCCTTTATCCTTTCACATTAACTGCTGCAGTCTCAACAATCCTGTGAAGTTAGTAGGTCAGTATTATTATCCCTTTATTACAGCGCAGGGGGAAACTGTGGCATAAAGATTAAGTGACTTGCCCCAGGTCATACAGTGGGTCAGTGACCAAATCAAGAGTTGAACTCAGGACCTTAACTCTTCTAGCATAATTTTCAGCCCTCTCCCCAAAGAGTTCAATCTAACCAGGCATGACATGACAGGTGAAGAGAGAAAATAAAGGGGTGCCATGCCGGGCTGAACATTATGCTAGAAGAGTTAAGGTTCTGAGTTCAACTCTTGATTTGGTCACTGACTCACTTTATACATATATATAAAATCACACTTGCACAATACATTATAATTATCAATACCAGTTTAATAGGGCCACTTTATCCTATATATCCTGAATTTACAGGGGGATGGATGCAATCCAATAAGGCTTTCCAGTCTAATTTTTTTTATTAAATCAGATTATGTAGAGGACATTGAAAGGAAAGAAAATACCCAAGAAATACTGTTTACATACCTGAACCAAAGTGCACAAGACAAAGAAGAGAAGATTTAAAATAGATAATCCAGGAATTAGATTTTGTTCCAGCACCATAGTGCCGTGCTGTTGGCCATCAGGTATTAGCATATAAATCATTAAGATTAAGACGGGGATTCCAAACACTAGGCTGCACAAGAAAGATTTCCTCCATCTGAAAAGTAGAAGTAGTGAATCCATGGTATTAGAGTACACTTTGGTAGTACTGGGCCCAAATACTGCACATGTACGGCTCCCCGGCTGAGCCGAGCGAATTCAGCCCTCGTAAGAACTGGCTCCAAGTCATTACTTGTTTCCAGTGATTAAACACTTTGGCTGAAGAAGTTCCTTTGCCACCTGCATGTTTCAGATACATAACTCTCTACAAGTAAAAACTGAAAGGTAATCCAAATGGGTATAAGAGTAATTGAACTGAACAGCAAATGACTAAGTACGTGCATATTAAATATGCCTTGCACAAGCATAAACCAGATTTACTGGTGTGCAGATTACTGTTACACTTGTAGAGGCCCTCTCTTTGTGACAGTCATACTTACTGTTTTATTTCCTTTTTGTGATCCAAGTTATGAGCATTAGGGTCTCTCTTGGCCAAGGAAGCATGAAAACCAATTCCCTTTTTATTAAAAAACAAGACAAAAGAGTTTGGTTAATTGAGATTTATTAAGGACGACAGATGAAAACTTCATCTAAAAGGATACATTTAAGATCAGAAATGTCAGAACAGGGAACTGTTCCACACTTTGGTGAATGCCTCCTTTTTATTTATTTATAGTGCCTGTCAAAGTGAGAGGAGTTCAGATAATGCCGATGATGATGGAGTAGAAGACAAAACATGGATGGTAAGGTACCTCTATCATTACACATATCCACAGTCATAACAAATCAAACATCCTGGGTTTAACGGTGGGTGCAGCTGGGATTTTGAAGGACTGATATTCCCCCTCAAACTTCACCGAGGAAACATTTAAAAATATAGTAGAACCTTAGTTACGAACACCAGAGTTACAAACTACCAGTCAACCATACACCTCATTTGGAATTGGAAATACACAATCAGGTAGCAGCAGAGACCAAAAAAAAAAAAAGAACAAATACAGCACAGTACAGTCTTGAACATAAACTACTAAAAATAAAGGGAAAGCACCATTTTTCTTCTGCTTAGTAAAGTTTCAAAGCTGTATTAAGTTAATGTTAAGTTGTAAACTTTTGAAAGAACAACCATAATGTTTTGTTCAGAGTTACAAACAACCTCTATTCCCGAGGCATTCGTAACTCTGAGGTTCTACTGTACACAAAATAAAAATAAATAAATAAAAACATCATATGGAGGGTGAGACAGTGTTAAATCTGGTGGGTCTGTGAACCTTGATAGGATCTCCTGAACAGTACAGTACTGCAGGTATATGTCAAGCCACCACAGAAAGCAGCAAGAACCAGCAATGAACAGCATCACAGAAGGAGCCAAAACATTAAACTAATTAGAATGGGACTGCTTTCCATGTGCTTCTATACTGTGCCCAGAACAATGGGGCCCCAAATCTGACTGGAACTTCACAGGGCTGCTGGAATATAAAACAACACAACTGTTAGCACAGGTCCAAACACTTGATAGCTGGCATTATCTGAAAGGCCAGTGGTAGGATTTGCTTTACAGTACCACCAGCACCACCACCACCTTAATGTACCATTTATCAGTAACTCCCACCATTGACATGGCAACTCACTGTAAGGCTGTACCAATTCTGCAGCTCGGAAACACTCTCTGAAGGAATAACCTAGAGCACAAAATTAATTTAACTGATTTTGGTATAATCTGTTTCCCTGTCAGAGTACTCTCTGCCATACTGTTCACACAGAAAAATTACACTTCCTCCTGCCCTTCCTGGAGAAAATGAAAAGCATCCCTAGCAAAATTGGCATGATGATACTGCACTTTGTAACAGATTTTATGGGCGTAGTGGTTACTGCTGAGCTGGTATTATTTTCTTTAGAGCAGGGGTTCCCAAACTTGGTTTGCGGCTTGTTCAGGTAAGCCCCTGGCGGGCCACGAAACGCTTTGTTTATCTGAGAGTCCGCAGGTACGGCCGCTTGCAGCTCCCAGTGGCCATGGTTCGCTGTTCCCGGCCAATGGGAGCTGCGGGAAGTGGTGGCCCGGCCCACACTGCTTCCCGCAGCTCTCATTGGCTGGGAACGGCGAACTGCAGCCACTGGGAGCTGCGAGCAGCCGTACCTGTGGACGCTTGGGTAAACAAAGCATCTCGTGGCCTGCCAGGGGCTTACCTTGAACAAGCCGCAAGCCAAGTTTGGGAACCCCTGGTTAGAGGCATATTACAAGGTGTTTTGCTTTTAAGAGGCTGCTTTGAACATCTATTGTGCGTCTCACTGATTGTTCTGAACAACCATGGGAGTCAATTCCAATTAAAATTGAGGTACAATAGAACCTCAGAGTTACAAACACCTCAGGAATGGAGGTTGTTCGTGTGACACTCTGTACCTCAAAGCAGCACCCCCCCCTTTTTTTTTTTGGTCTCTGCTGCTGCCTGATTGCGAACTTCCGGTTCCAAAAGAGACGTGTGGTTGACCATTCAGTTTATAACTCTGGTGTTTGTGACTCTGAGGTTCTACTGTACGTTTTCAAAGTGGTATTTACCTGGGTTTAGTGCCTTTCTGCTTCATAGCTGCTCTTAGAGTCTCTAGGTGGCAGTAGAGAGCAATCTGAGGTAACATTCCATTGGACTATCTGCAGTTCAGAGAAGCACCTGGTGCAGTACACGGAGCAGTAACGGAGGGGTACATCACATTTTTACCAGGTATTGATACTTTTAAAAAGCACTGACATGGTTAATGTCTCTGGAGGCTACCCTTTGAAGTATGTAGCCTCCATTGACCATACACTATTGGCTTTGTCACATATGTTAAGTGTACTTTATCTAAAGCTGCAAAGGACAGTGAGCCTTCAGCACTTTTAGTCACTTCCATTTGTTTTAACATCACCTTAGATTTATTATTGGTTTGTTTTAAAAACTTACCTCAATAATTTGTATAATATCTCGAGGTCCAATGATTTCAGGATCAAACTGGATGTGAGCTTTGCTGGTAGCAAGCGCTACCGAGGCATAGAAGATGCCATTAGTTCTGGTTAGTTTGGATTCAATATTGTGAACACAGGAAGCACAAGTCATCCCCGTAATCTGAAGAACAGAATTGTAAATACAGTTAGTGATCTCTACAGTTGAGAGCAACCTCTCTCACCACTGCCCCTTGTTTGGGGCTTTTCAAAGTTATGCAAGAAGTCTGCACTGCTTGTGAAACTGATAAAAAAAAAGTTTTCACTGGATTCATGAGGAGTGCAGTGTTTTCCTGCCAAGAAAGCCTTCTCTGTGCACTTGGGTAGCTGTTCATCTCTCTTTACCTAGCAGAAACATTTTTGCTCCTTTTGAATAATTTTTTTCTTGAGTAGTTAAGAAAAGCAGCAGCAGCAGCATCCAGCACCATCGCTGTTCAAAACCACAACCCATTAAAATAGATTCATTTGCAAAGACACATTCCTGTCAAACTTGTACACGTACCACAAAATCCTTACATTCCTATCATGATACTCACAATAAGCTCTGCATTGCCATCTGTAGCAGTATGATCTTCTATGACTGTAGCATTGAAGCCCAAGTTTTGGATCAGCTGTACTATTTCAAGAGGCTGAATGCTCTCTGGCTTGTATTTTATCTCCGCTTTTCCTGCCATCAGTGCTACTAGCACTGAAATGATGCCTGCAATGGGAGCAATTGGGTTATATTAGATACTGTACCTCCTTTGAGAACACATAATGCAATTGATAATCAAGGGGCACACCAGTCATATAATGCTTGGACATTTAATGGCTTTAATCACTCTCCCCACTCTAGTGTATGCCATGAGCATATTGACAAAATAGGACAAAAGCTTCCATTTCTCAAGATACAGATTCTTCCCTTTAATTTATTCATGCAATTCCTATTAGCATTTGAATAATATGAGAATCGGACTGGAAGCTCTTAGGGGCAGGCACTATGTCTTACTATGGGTCTATCCACCAGCTATCCAGTATATCCCCCAACTGGTATAGTCACTGATGGATTGAATATACACCTTTACCCCGATATAATGCAACCCGATATAACACGAATCCAGATATAACGCGGTAAAGCAGTGCTCCGGGTGGATGGGGCTGCGCACTCTGGCAGATCAAAGCAAGTTCGATATAATGCGGTTTCACCTATAATGGGGTAAGATTTTTTGGCTCCCAAGGACAGCGTTATATCGGGGTAGAGGTGTAGTAGTGTGGCTAGTATCAACATGAGTACATAATTAAGTAAATAAGAATATTAATTACACCTACCCTCAAGAACACATTTTAACACGTATAACAACAAAGAGCTTTAGGAGACAGAGCTCTGGACTGGGGCTCAGGAGATCTGGGTTCAATTCCTGGCTCTGCCACTGCCCTGCTGGGTGACCTTGGGCAAGTCACTTCCCACCTACTGCCTCAGTTTCCCCATCTGTAAAGTGGGGATGATACTGACCTGTGTAAAGTGCTTTGAGATCTACTGATGTAAATTGCTATGTAAGAGCTAGGTATTAATTATTATTGACAGAATGCAGTATCCTTCACATCCAGAAGATCCCAAAGTACTTTACAGACCCTCTCTAGGAATGTTAGACATCTCACCGTCTTCTTTTTGCAGATTTCTTTCAATGTTTGACACACATGATGCGCAGGTCATGCCTGCGATCTGCATAAAGCACGTTTCTGTTGTCGCTACATTGGGACGCTTTGGACTACTGAGGTAAGAATTCTTTGGCTGGACATCAGACATGTAGCCTTGATGAGACGATGCAGAAACATATACTTTTCTCTCCGAAGCTGCCTCCCACGCATTAGCCTGAATC